GTATTATAGATTTGATGACCATTCTACTGTCACCTGTACTAATTGTAGGGCATCTGCCTTGCCTTAACCAGTTGTACTGGAGTGGGCAGAAAAACAAAATATAATCAAAATGGAAAGATGAAGGAATGAGATGGGGGGAAATAAAGAAGAAAAGCAAACAAGCATAAAAGAAACAATTAGATTTGTAATCTTATTTCAAAGGTAGACCCCCCACACACATACACACACATCGAAAGTCAAATGAATTTTTTCCAAATGTTTTTTCTAGATGTACAGTTAGTTTATAATTGTACATTATATTGTGATTCTGCTATAAAATATAATGCCCTGACTTGGAGGGCCCAGGCAAGCCTGCTATCATCAGACCTTAGAAGCTAAGCAGGGTCAGTCCTTGGATGGGAGACCACCAAGGAACTCCAGAGCTGCTGTGCAGAAGCAGGCAATGCCTACAGCACATCTGGATGTCTCTTGCCTTGAAAATTCTATGAGGTTGTCATAGGAAGGTTGTGACTTGACAGCATTTTTCACAACCATAAGGTATACCACTTTGAAAAACATGGCTAATTATTTTTAAAAAATCTTTATACTCTGAAAGTATTCAGAAAGTGGTGCCAAACAAGGAGAATGAAAAGGAACACATTTGATTGTATTTTTAAAGGATCCATCATTAGAAGTAAAACCTGAATGATATCATTCACCATCACCAAGGCTTTTAATCCACGGATTGTGTTTTGTGGACCTCCTCCTCCAGTACTGTTCTCATTTGGCAATGACTGAAACCACAACTAACAATAACAGACCTCTGTTTTTGAAAATGTGCATTATCTTATAGGTGAGTCATCATAAACCCCTCTACCCTGTTCCTTCTGAAGCATATTGTGTCCTTGCTTCTTGAAACTATTTTTTAGGACCTGAGCAGTGCTTGCAGACAGGGCATTTGAAGTGGATTTGCAACACCTGGTTAAGAGGGAATCTTAACTGTGCTAACACCAGTAATGATGCACCATGCTTAAAACAAATTATGGAAGGAAAGGGAAAATAAGTGTGGGAGAGGGCAGGAAGAAACAGGAAGGCCACAGCTTGCTCCTAGTCTAACTATGGGTAGAGATCAGGGATGTTCTTCTCTAGTTGTTGAGGGCTGGGTGAAGTCACAGAGTCCAGAGTCAGCATCAATGTCGGTCCAAAGTCAGGGTTGCAGAAGTCAGGCAAGGCAGAATTGATGAGTCCAAAGTCATACACAAGAGCAAGCAGGTCCGAGACCCAAGTCCAAAGCCAGTCCCAAGGTCACTGGAGTGGAGCAGAATCAGGAGCTGTGGTCACAGAGTTCACCAGGTGGTGACTTGCTGCTTCCACATGGAGCTGTCTCCCTTGACTGGCTTTCATAGGCATCTGGTGGAAGGTCTTACTTGCAGCCAGCTGCTTGGGAATAACCCTGCAGCTACTCATCATCAGCAAGCATCTGGCATTGGGCCAGGAGTTGTGCACCTTGTCCTCTCCTGGAGCTCCATTCTAAGCCTTCAGTGCTCAAATGGTGTGGGTGAAACTAGAGGGCTGGTAATGACTACCTGGGTTCCCTCTGTTGGAATGGGCTGGAAGGTGCTGGTGGCTCTGCATCAGCTGTGGGCTATGAGCTCTGATAAGCTTGCAGTTCATCTTCTTGCTTGCCAGCTTCTGCTGATTCAGAGTTTGGCTACACAGGCCTCCTCTCCTCCTGAGGAGTCCATCTCTCCTGACTGACCCACGACACTAGTGGACCTGGACCACTGGAACTGGGACACTCTAATAACAATGAATGCTTCATCCTACATATCCAGATACCACTGAAGACATGTTCCCCACCCTCATCACAGGAGCATCAGGAATGTATCATGTACACATCCATTCTCCCCCTCTCCATTCTCCATGTTCCCTGGAAGTAGGTCACAGCAGTGCCTCTCTTCGCCTGGAATGACAGGAAGCCACCACCCACCTCCTCCCAACAACATTACAATCAGGCGAGACATGGCAGAGGGAAAGGGGAAGAGGGCTGGGCAAGGATCTGTTACCCACCTGCACAATGGAGGGAGCAGCCTCCCCACCAGCCACCCAGTGGGGCTGGGGGGTCCCTCCTGATGCTGTGGTTGGACAGGGGAGAGGCTGGGCTGGTTAGCGCCCCAATATTTCTTGCATCCTAGGCAATTGTCTAGGGCTGCCTAGTGGATGGGCCACTCCTGGCCCTCAGCTCCTTTCATTTTGTATGTGTGTGTGGGGGTATTTTTATCTTACCATCTATAGGGCCCCTTCCAGCCCTGTTCATTCTGGAGCCCAGCATGTACACACGTGAAACACCTAACTTATTAAAGGGGAGGAATTCCTGGACTGGAGGAATCCAGTTAAAAGAGGTTTATATTACCTAGACTTTTTAATTATATTAAGTAATGAAAATGGGCTTCTATGATTATATCAAATATATATAAAGAATTAGATGTATATTGTGAATAATGTGTGGAATTCTCTCTCTCTGTATCAGTATAGGGGGAGACCTAACTCCACACATCTTGCACAATATAGAAGTAATGCTTTTTGTTTCTTCCTTCTTGATCTTTGAAATGTAAAATTTAGATTTATTTTCTTGGCAGTTTGCAGCACTTTAGAGTTTCCTACCTCTTTTGCAGCTTTCTTAAAAATAAATACAACAGATTGAGGGCACAGGCCACCAGCAGTTTCTCCCACATAAACCCCAGAGAAAACACGACGTGGTTATGCAAGTTCCCGGTTGTTTAATATTGGAGGATAAAGATGTTTGGGAATATGAATCCATATGCTTTTCTAATATCTTTTACAGTGACCACCAATAAATACTAACAAGTTGTTTGTTTCAAAGTGGCTTTTCGGTTTGGACACATCTATGCTACAGAATTAAAGCAGCAATTCTGTTTTTGTGGGGACTCCTGGAAACTACTGGGGGTTGGGGAGATAGGGACCTCTGATGGTCAAGAGAGGCATAGTATTAAAAGATGGCTTGAAGACATATTCTTTAGCCATGCTATGACCTCAGCTTCCTTTGGAGTTTATAATTAAAAGAGGACATCAGTGAATCAGTTCAGCCTTCGCCCTTGTCCCCCTAGCCCACGCATTTGCATCCACTGCTGCCACTACCACCTTCCTGTCCTCCCTTCCCAATGCAGCCCCAAATGTCCCCCACCCATCCCCACCCACCCCACCCCACTCACCCCACTCTCCACCACTCACCATGTATGAACTGAACTACTGTCTTTCCAGCAGTTCTTTTTCTCCTCCTGTCTCTGTCTGGCTTTTAAAGAATTTACCCCCATAAATGGAATGGCCTGCCTGATACAGTATCTGCCCTGATGTCATTCAGGAGACTGGGTAAATCTGAGTTGTTTAGGAGGGCAGGTGAGGGTGGTTAGTACTGAAGCAGAACTTTTAAAAAATTCTGCCCATGAGTTTTAAGGAGCTTCAGAAGACCAGCCATTGGGCTGGCCCTGTGGGACAGCTCAAGTCCCCAGAATACTCCCAGGTACATGGGCCATTTGGATTAATCCTAGCTTCTTAATTAGTCCCTTGCAAGTTGCAGGCTACTGCACTGACTTCTAGCTCGGAGTTCACTGTTTCCTCACACCAGGGTCTCCAAGAGCAAGCTGTTCTTTTCCAAGAATATGGCCTTTCTAGACGCCTGTGTGATTGCAAGTCCTGCAGAGCCCTATAGGCTGCAGCACCTTCTTGCCATCACCTGACTCTGGCTGGCCCTTTAAGAGTGCAATTTTGTTCACTGGAGCCTCCCTACTCTTGACTGCCACCATGCTCTTTCCAGGGCTGCCATATACAGTCTCCAGTTGCAGTGGTGTCATCTCCAGTTTCACCAGCGTGCTGCAGCATCACTTCCTGTTTGCTGAAGAGGGTTGATCTGAGCTCTGCCCACCTGGCAACTTCCGTGCTCAGCTGGGTTTCCTTACATGGGCTTTCTGCTTTTATTGTTTAGGTGCAAACACTAGGCTAGAAATACTGCTTTGAGGTACAAATGAGGTACAAATGAGATCTGACACCAGGAGATCCTCCCTTTAATCTAGTGATCTTAGACCTGCACAAATCACAAACACCTGAATCACATAATCATAAGAGCAATACAATGGATAAGCAGCAATTAGCTAATCAGATAATATAACCAGATAATACAAACTTACTAAGTTATTAACATTGTAAAAATTCATCTAAAATTCTTAAAAAACATACTCAGGAAATACACGTTTAATAAAAACTAAATCCATAAATCGGAGTGGTTTTTCAAGGTTTCCTAGCATTCATGAAGCAATCCAAACTGAGGCTTTACCATAGGATGGGGATTTAACCCTTTCCCTGGCACCATTTTCCCAATCTGGATTTGATCCCAGAGGGGATGCGAATATTCAGATGCCCATATAGTGCTCATGTATTCCCCCTGCAGGGAAGACCACAGTTGAGAAAATGATACAGGGGCAAAGGTTGACTCCCCATCTGGATTGACTCCTGTGCTCGCCACATGCTGCAATTTATGCCTGAAAATATTGTGGGAGATCTATTCGTGGATTCCTCAACAGCCCATCTAAGTAGGCCTTAAGAATCCCACTCCTTTAATTTTTGATAAATTAAATAGAAGTGAGGTGCCTGTGGCTAAACGGTACTTTGTGTGTGTCGCTTCCTTCCCACACCCCAGGGCCCTGAGATCAGGTCATCTATCATTCCTCTACCTGGTTTTTTTAAAGAAAGGAGGTTACATTCTCCGTATATTGCAGAGTTACTCGATACCCTTGTTGTGAATTTACGGAGTTGTGCAAAGGATCAGCACCCTAAAATAAGATGATTTCCCCCCCCCCTCACTCAACAAGCCTTTTCTCTAATTGTTTGAGTGGAAAGCTTTTGAAACGTTGCCCGTTGATAATGAACCTGTTTATCCTTTCCCCCCTCCCCTCTTCTCTTGCTTCTTCTTCTTCTTCTTTTTAAATCCCTACGCTTCATCAAAGGAAACCACTGAGAAAAGAAGAGAATGGAACAAGTCGGGCTGAATATGCAATGACTGCCTCCCAAAATAACAAGACAGTTGACGTGAACAATGCGGTGGTGTAATTTCTGAGACTCTCCCCCCTTGAGTAGCAAATGTTAAAAGCACACACGGCATCATCGGCAAGGTGGGTGAAAAGCAGCCAGGGGAGAAGCCCTGTGGGCCAAGGACTCCATTTCAGAAGCAGGCACGCATCAGTTATTCCAAGAAGAAAAAGCAGACGATTCTTCTGCAGCCTGCTGATGGTCACAAAGGGAGGGATAAAACTTGCCGGTTGGGGCTCCTCTGAGCAAAGGCCTCACAAAGGCGTAATCACTGCATGCCGCATCTGTTGAAAGCAACATCATGATTCCCCCACCCCCCAGCTTCCCCCTCCCCTTTTCCTCTTGAGTTATTTATTTATTTTTGATTGACGGTCCATAAAGGCGCTGCTTTAATAGGATCCCCTTTTTTATATGGTGAAGGTGATCTGTTGGAAGCGGCAAGGTGTTGTAACTGAGTCTGGAAAAGCCGAGCTTTACCCGCATGGTTCCGCATCTTTGATTTTCCTTTCCAGACCATCAGCCTTTCCATTCTTAATTATGATTGCATTATTAAAGTGGGAAGTTTCCCTTTCTCCACAAAGCATCTCCCCCATTCCCCTGCTCCCAAATACTGCATGGAGTCATGAAGTATACATCCACAAGTACAGCCTGGTCGCTATGCAATTTCCATGGCTGAAGACTTTTCAGACCGAAAGAAGTCACACTATGATCCTCAGCAATTAGCATTGCTAATAAAAGAGAAAATAATTATAAGTAATGACATTTAAAGGTGCTTTGAATACTGTTACTCCATAATCGGTCTTATTTACCTTTTTGTTATCACATGGTATTTTTTGTGTATATCCCATGTTCTAAAAGTTCGAGTTTTCTGCTCCTTGGTTACAATTCTGCACAATTTAATGTATGCATTTCCATCACACAGATCTGTAAGCAGGATCTCTCTAGAGTGGCTTTAAATATTTTGGGTTGAACATGGAGGAAGACTAGCCACAATAGAAACTGAAGGTCTCCTTATTCTACTTGCCAGCTCAGATTTCCCAATGGTTCCCCCCATTTCCTGAGTAGCTCCTCTAAGAGACTTCTTCTGAAGAAAGGACTCTCTGCTTTAGGGAGAAAGCTCAGTCTTCTGTCTTGACAAGGGACTACCAACTGTGCCAAATTCTATGGGGTACCACTGCGTTGTTTCACTTTGGGATAAGGACTGCAAACGATGTAAAGCTGAATCCGCCAAACTCACTTTTGTGTGGCGTCTTACTAGGTTTGGTCACCTTAATTTCTTAAAATAAAGGCCATTGTTTAGTTGCAGGTATTAGCCCATACCTGGGTTAAGACGTTCAGATAAGTATTTTGACGTCCTTCCTGTATGCCTTCATTCCTAGCAAAAACATCTCTAGTTTCCTGTTGTGCTGTCAGGGTTCAGTGGTCCCCTGTCTTTGTGCATTTAGGCAGTCCAAACAAGCCATTGTGGTGTCCTTGCATAGAATCACTGCCTCTTGGCAATACAGCCCATTAGTGCTGAGAAGCTGCCGTTCTAGTTCATAAGAGCATAAGAGACGCCAATGTTGGATCAGGCCAAAGGCCCATCCAGTCCAACACTCTGTGTCACACAGTGACCAGAAATACCAGTGCCATCAGGAGGTCCACCAGTGGGGCCAGGACATTAGAAGCCCTCCCACTGTTGACCCCCCCCCAAGCACCAAGAAGACAGAGCATCACTTGCCCCAGAGCCCCTATCTATACCTTGTGGCTAATAGCCACTGATGGCTATTCAGTTCAGTTTATACAAGGCTCGTTCCAGACGAAAGTATCAACTTCAAGGCACTGAGGATTTGCACCCCAGTCCAGAGCCCTACACTGTCACCCAATAATATTCCAACACATGAACAAAATATGAAATTTGGAGTCTTCAGAGAGCCTATTTACCCATTAATTTTCAGTAGTGAAAGTCAACAAGTTAGGAACAAGTTTTGAGCTCACACGTACCCCTTATCTTGTATGTGGACAATAATGTGCCATGTTGATTTGTCTGTATAGGGGGACCCCCTCACCTTGCAATCTGTGGGTTTGATTCTGACTATCTTTCCCAATTCCCCCTTCTTGCTGCAGAGCCCCCACCCCACCCCACCCATGTCATTCTTCAGGGTCCCCTATCCCACAGGAACAGCATTTCATGAGAGCAGAGAGGCAGAAAAGTCCCATTCTGGTGGTATAAAACATAGTCTGGATCCAAACCTATTTCTCCAGAACCTGCTGAGAAGATAAGAGAAAGCGAAGGCATGCAAAACTAGATGTTACTCCATTGAATTTCTCTGTTAAAAAACAATGCTTGGCTGGACTCTGCAATCCCATCTCCATGGAATACTTGAGGCGTTAAGTTTTGATATTTGTGTGTGCCCCCCCAAAAAATATCAGTTTTTGTTACTGAATGGTATCATATGCGTAAATATTGTTGTTCTCTAACTGATCCCCCCCCCCAAAAAAAAAAAGTCCTGGCTATTCTATCTTAACAGAGTTACTTGTTTACTCAGCCTTCTAACCTTTCTTCTCTGTTTAGGAATACATGGTCTTTTAAATGTCAAGACTTTCTTAAGGTGGAATGAAAGAATGTTGGCAATTATTTGCTCTAGGAACATAAATTGTTTCCTTTCTGTTCAATTGGTGCATAATTGCACAAAAGCAATTGACATTTTTTGTCAGCCTTGACAAAAACATACTTAAACCAAAATCCATTATCTCATATATTTATAACTGCACTTTTCCTTCAGTGTGCCGATGAATGTTTCTGGCTGGGTTTTCCCCCCCCCCCCCCCACACACACACACATTCACACAAACACTATGATGTTATTTGGTATAGTCATTTCCCCCACATCTTTTCTGTTATATTTACCTACAGGTGGAAAGTAGTGCAGGCTCAGCTATGATACCCTTTGGGAGGGATCGTGTTTTTGTTTGCTACACGATAAATCCAGAGGAGCAGCTGTCTACTGGGCCGGGGGTGTGTGGGTGGATCCTGGGGTCTTGTGGCATTGTAAAGACTAAGAAATTGTATTCTATCGTTAACTATTGTAGCTGGTTCCCAACCTCTGGTGCCCTGTAAGTCCACATTTACTCGGTATGGTGAGCCACATAAAAACCAGTGCCTGCATGAATCAATAAAACTACAGAAGCCTGGGATCCACTGGCACAGTCTTTTGAGAGCCACTGTTGGATTGGAACCAGTGTTCCCTTTAAGCTGAGTTAGTGTGAGCTAGCTCACATTTTTTTCAGCCTCCGGCTCACACATTTTTGTTTAGCTCAGGAAAGGATGGCTCCAGAGCAAACTTAATTTATGCAGTAGGCAAATCGCTCTCTCACAACTTTGATGCCAGTAGCTCACAAAGTAGATTTTTTTGCCAACCGGGCCCCAAAACCAAAGTCATGTCTGTCTCGGTTGCTTTGTATCAACACTGGACTGTGCAGCCATGATTTCTATGTGCAGGACTGGTTTCTGTACTTTTGCCTCTCTCATGCTGAAGCACATAGGGCTTTCAGGGAAGGATGGTGGGCAAAGGGAGGAAGAAACTGAATGCTGGATCCTGTGATTCTGTCTGGCTAACACTGCTCAAAGAGCCATTCTCCAACAGAAGTATGCTATGCCCAAGCAAGACTCCTGTACTGGAGGAAGACTCCATTGTTAGCAGAACAAAATCATAGGATGCAATCCCATGACTGCATCGCCATTCATTTCTGGCAGTGCAGTCTTGTGAAACTATGAAGCTGCCTTATAGGGAATTAAATCATTGGTCTGTCTAGTCCTCTGCACTGTCTATTCCATCTGGATGCAGCTTTCCATGATCTTAATCAGAGGTCTTTCCCAATATTTTTGCCTCTCATCCTCTTTTTCTTCCTCCTAAAAAAACATTCTGTTTTCATTTACAGACATATAGTTTTCCCAATTCAAACAAGGTATAGTTATGACAAGTAATAATCAACTGTGCCCATTTTTCGGTTCTGCTGGAGGAACGAACAGAGATGCCACGGATCTTAGTACCGTTACCATGTACTCTGTCACTAATCTATTGCAATTGTCATCAAAATGGGAGTGGTAAAGTTCACTTCTGCTGCACTGGAAATTTGGCTATCATTATTACTTCACTATCTCTAATCGTGAAAGGGATGATCTGGAGCAGTCAAAAAAGCAGATAAAGCCAAGCCACCCACAGTTAAGTAGGGGGGTTTACATTCTCAAGGGGGATCTCTAAGTGAGCAGGAAAAGAAGTGTTTCTAAATCAAAAGAAAACCAAAAAAAATGTTCAATGAGGACTGAGTTTGCTTCAGTGGCATGGAATACTGAGGGCAGTTTAGAGATAGTTAAAGAAGAAACAGAGGGAGATGGGGAAATTGGCTTGCTCAAACCTCAGGACTTTACGTAGCTCTGGGGGGGGGGGGGGATTTGCGCGATGGGATTTCCAAATGGTTTGTCTCCTTCCTCCAGTTCCTCACAGACCCAAATTTGTTCCCTCTAATAGCAGACATCATGGCTGAATACCTACCACAGAAGCAGCAAAAGGGGTCCTCCCACAAACAACAGAGACATTTCTACATATTTGGAAGATTGCCTGGGTGTGCAGGAAAAAAATGTTAGCTTGTAAATTTAAAAAGATAAGGCCCAATGAGAAGTGGAGCAATACCCTTGGAATGTTGGCAGAAGCTGAATGTCAGCAAATGGGGAGGGGCCCCGTGACTCAGTGGTAGAGCATTTGCTTGGCATGCAGAAGGTCCCAGGATTAATCCCTGGCCTCTCCAGTTAAAGGGATCAGGAAGGAGGTGATATGAAAGACCTCTGCTTGAGACCCTGGAGAACCACTGCCAGACGAGTAGACTATACTGACATGGGATGGACTGATGGTCTGATTCAGTATAAGGCAGCTTCATGTTTCCAAATGAAGAAAAAAGAAAAACAGAGATGGGGAGATTTGCCTGCTGAAGCTCTTAGATGCTTCCAGTGTCCTGGAGGGGGAGATTTAATGATCACACAGTAGAGATTCTCTAATTGTTTATCCCCTCCCAAGATTCCTCATTGACTTCCAGTGTATAAGCTAGAATCCAAACCTCCTCTTCTGCCTACTGATGGAACATGAAAGAAAGCCTCGGTACGTTCCTCAAGTTTGGCCCGGTTGCTGTGTAGCCTCTGTTCATTAAAAGGAGAGAGCTTTACAGTGTCCTTGTGCAACTACCATTGAATTAGTAGATGTTTCACAGCAGCTGTGCAGGTCATTTCTGCTCTATATTTTTCTGAGATGATGGTCTTATAAAAAAGCTCCTACCTTTAAAGTACCTTGAATTCTACAAAAGAATATTATTTATAAAGAGCTCATTTGTTATTGCTACAATATCCTTCAAACTATGAAGAACTATAAATTGTTACGTAGTATATATAAACCCTTGTTATTTCTATCACTGTCCTCATATTACCACAGTGCTTATTTAGAATGGCTTAGCAAATCCAATAGATGCTAATGAGCAGTTCTGAATTGTTAACAGTCATACTTCCATTTTGCTTATTGGCCTTATTGAAATTACAGTCCATGGAACCTGGAAAGGCTACACTTTTGGAGTATTCAGAAGTCTATTTCTGTTAGTATTTTGGCTAACTCCCTAATAT